TGGGTGACTTTAAGGTGAAAATACAGATATGAGATTTAACTTTCTCTGATCTGTATATACAGTAACCCAGTATGTACACTACCACTCAAAACTCATCAGTGCAAAAACGTCTCATATTAAAGTTTTTGTTCTTTTATTCAATTCCAATATTATTATATACTAATGTGTATAATATAGTTTTGAACAACATAAACCAGGCACCTAAAGTTATTTATTCAGTATTATATGTTTAGGAACTGCAAGATATTAAATGATGAATATGGTATTATAATTATCTATTTATAGTAGATACTTTGGGGCATATTATATGAATTGCAAAGAAATGCAGCTTTCTCAATCATATACAGCTCTGTTCATCATTCTAGATTTTTCTTATAGGTTATTTGAGTTCCCTACAAATTATTTAAGTGAAGTTATACATTCATGCATTACGTACCGCTAGCTTTATATTAGAATCATTTCATACCAGTATGTAACAAATGATTTTATTTTATTGAAAATATTCATTCCAGTTTGAATCATGACCACAAACTTGTGAGCATAGTGTACATTATGCTATACTTTAATCCTACAGCTTTAGTACTGAGCTTGAACTTCACATGCCACTCAGTATCAGGGCTTCAGTTCACTTTTGTAACGAGGTTCAGTAGGTCTTGCTCTCTCTCTCTCTCTCTCTCTCTCTCTCTCTCTCTCTGTCTCTCTGTCTCTCTCTCTCTCGCTCTCACTCTCAAGCTCAGTGTCTCATCTCGTGTGTGCTGGCCTCAGCCAGAAGAGACCCCCGGGTGGAGGGGATTTAGATGAGCTGAGAGCTGCTCTCCTCTTCGGCAGGGATGTGGGGATTACCCAGGGCACAGAGATACCCCCCCCACCCTTAGCCCACACAGAGAGCAGGGGGACACCAGAGTATGGCCCACAGCACATATGCTGCAGAAGATCAGCATCCCCAAAACACATCGCTCACGCAAACACTTACTCACGCATTCACGCCTGCACCGCCAATCACAAGTTAGAAAAAAATCCATGAGGCATTTAAATAGTTTAGCTGATTTGTTTTCAAAACTTTGCAATGAAATAAGAGCATCTCTACAGTATTTGCATAGTTTATTTACAAAAGCATAATGATTGTATTAAATAATAATGAACCAAAAATTGCATATTTTTCAGTTTCCAGATCTCATTATGCCATCTCTAGAAGGCCCTGGGGGTTCTCCACTGTTGATTTTCGTCTTGGCTTGGCTTAACCCATTACATACGTCTATAGCCTAAGAACAGGTCAACCGGTTTGAATTGCAGCCCCTGCAGTTATTGAATAATAAGTCTTAGTATGTAAAATGCCTGGGATTTTATTCTGGATATTAAAATTGTAATAACGTCATTATTGATGCTATCCACAGTGCTGTTCATCAAGTGATTCTCAACAGCAAAACAGATACACCCCTTAAGTGTTCCTCCAGAAGCTCTGCCCCCCAAATTCATGAACGCACATTGTCAAGGCAAACAACACTTTTTTAGATCTTCTTGGCCATAAAACCCTTTGCAAACACAGAAGGTAATGTAAGTAACATTAGCTAGCTAGGTTGTGGGTTTACAAGCTGTCACTACTTTTGCTACCACAAGCTAAACACAAACATTAGCAAGCAGGACAAAACAATACCGATCTATTGATTCTGTGAAACAGCAAAAATAAGTTAATGTTACCCACCTGTCAAGCAGAAACAGAACAACTGTTCCCTTTTAATCCCTTTTCATTCATTTCTTTAAACAGCTGAAATCAGCTTCTTTTTCAACAGTTTCTTGTTCTAATTCTCCCATTCCACCTTATATGGTGCAACAAGAACATTCTGCTGTCTCATGGTAACCATTGAAAAAATTAGCCTACACAACCAGCACAGCTAAAAGGACATAACAGTCCTCCTGCTTCATGGATGAGTTTTTATATGTACTGAAAAGGCTAAAAGGGCTGACATATGATTGTTTTGTAGTTCTCAAATTTATTTTTGTTTTCAGTCCCTGCCAAAGCCATAGGTTATGAAGCTAGTGCAATGGAAGCTAAGCTAAGATTAGCACTCAGATGCTAACTTCCTAACAGAAACAAATCCTCAAAGCTATGAGCACCATCCATGTTAATTACAGCTCTACATGTTCACACAACACATTTACAGCGTAATAGGAGCCAAGTATGTAATATACTTCAGAAAAAAAAATGGTTTTCCTTAGTGAAATATGATATGAAAAATAAGATATGAGGAGGCTGAAGCTGGCTTCCTATTCGCCAGTTGCTTGTTCAGATTTTCCCATTCCACCTTAAATGGTGAAGCAGTTTCATTCTGGAGGCTCACCCTGATAGCAAGAGGATAGTGCACCACTTCTGGACCACTGATGGCAAAGTTGGCGGTCCACTGGCGTTTTGCACAGCGGTTTACGGGTGGCCCACCAGTGGTTACACAGAGTCATAGATGAAATTCCACTAATCATCACTCATTTTCCATTTACAGTTCAGTTTACTTATTTTTCCTTCCTTCCATTCTTTAGTTATACTTTATAAATTAGTATAGCAAATCATTTTAATCTAGCACAGCGTCAGCAACACCATTTTCTATAAAATCATTTAATATCAGGCCTAGTTATTATTTTTTTTCTCTCAGTTGTTTGTAATGTTTTTCTAAGTTTATTTTCCAAAATAAAAGTCTCTGTGCATTTAAAATCTGTTTGAGGAGATTAAAAACTAGTTAGAGCTTGTTTGCAGGACAGTAATCTGGGTGGTCCGAGCAGTAGCAAACAGTCAGTGGAGTGCCGACCTTATTAACCCAGCTCGCTATCAGGGCAGGCTCATATTTTTTATGTCACTGATTATGTCACTAAGTAATAGAAATATCAGCTGATCACCGATCACATATTTGGGCTGAAAATGGGCCGATACCGATACGTAGCCAAACGATCCTTCTCTGATCTCTAAAAATTGCAAATCAAAGCTGCCGATGTTCTCAGAACAATGGACTGACCACACATCATGTGTCTGGGATTACTTGGATTGTGAGAAGTAGAAAATGCTAAGAAAATTACTAAGACTGAACTTTGAAGGTGTAGAAAAGAACTGAAAAACTGAAAGCAAGTCTGCTGAAAAGAATGAAAGCAGTTATAAAGGCAAGAGGTGCACACACAAAATACTGAAAAGAAAATGGTATTATGTTTAAGCTCCTGCTTCATTTTCCACTAAACATGTGTTCTGCTTTTTCCTGATGCTGAAAAATGTAACTTGTACTTAATGGGCATTTTAATGTAAAAGTAAGTAAGTGAAGGGTGGTCTCTTTTGCACAGTACTATGTGTCGCTGAAAGAAGGAGGCATGCACTCATGAAGCAAATGACACACATACATTCGCATACAAATGGGCATACAGACAGCCACTGAACGCACAAACTGGACTCTAGTCCATGCAAACCTGCAGGATGAGAAGTGTGTGGGGGAGGTTGCTTGTTCAGGAGTCAGATGGAGTTTGCAACATAGCACACTTAGCTAGTCCTGCCACAGCACACTCAGAGAAGAACTTAATCTCTGAAGTCCACCTGAGTCCTCCTGGAACCCCACCCCCCACACTGGGTACACAGAGGACAGGTTTGGGCCTCGGTGAGGTACCGTCAGCCCCAGCGCTGCCAGAGTGGCCCCGCACTGTGGCCTGTTAAATGGTGCATAATTCTCCTGATCCGCCATGACGGATGAGGTCTGCCAACCCTCTAAGCTCTGAAAATGGCATTAAGTGCTTCAGCTCTGGATTACAGAAAATTCACATTTTTAATGCAAAAAGAAATTTTAAAAAATCAGGCGGTGGGGAGCTGGACTTTTTTCTTTGATAGAAAGTTCCCATTTTCAGTCCTCTGAGATGTGACAGGAGCAAGAACGAGGCGCGGGCCTGAGCTGACGGTGCTGTTTCAAGCTGAACTCTCATGCAGGGAAAATAAGGAGACACTAATCTTCCTGTACAGGTTCATAAAAGGTTCACACAAAAGACCGAGACATTGCATTTACATTATGTCCCTTCAGATGCTGCAGGAAAGATTTTCCATTATGCTACATTAAAAAAGGTAATGTATTGAATTTACTTGACTCAGATGTCTACATAATTTCCACATAAATAAAAAAACATAAACACAGTTTTGTCTTTCAGTTTTGTACTTTTGGCACTGTGTTGATGTAATATATTTTATTCATGTGGCAATTATGTATTTACATAATGCACATTTGAAAGCTACCTACATAAGGACTTCATAACACATGTATAGGTGTTGAAAAACATTTAAAAAAATTTATCAGTTTATCAGCTTCAGTATTCATTGTGTAATGTGTGCTTGTGTCATTGTTTGTAAGATGATATTAGATGGTTTGTGAAGTAAACAACCTTATATTGATAAGGCACAAAATGTTAGATCACTTTATTTGGAGGGGCATCAAAACTAAACTAAAAATGATATATGACCTTGTGTAATGGCCTCTGTCTGTCACTGCTAGGGAATAATGCTGTATAACAGTGTTGTAAATGGAACAAATGTCAGTTATTTTAGGTTAAAGGCCTTTATGTCAATATGAAGTCATTTACTTCATAAACCATCTTGCAAATACTGACATAAGCTGTTCATAAATACTCAAATATTGCTTTTAAATACCTTATCCAGTGCTTGTGCATTTGTCATGAAGTCACTAAGTATGTGCCCTTCAAATAATGTTACCAAATATTCAACTGTGTGTCAAAAAGTAGCTTGTTATTAAACAGTTCCACTGAGAGATGCACCATCACTGAAAAACACAATGGACTGGATTTTCTTAGTACTATATCAGCGCATTTGCACCAAAAGTAATTAAACAGAGGACAAAACTGTGTTTATTATCATTCATGTGGAAATTATGTACACATTTGAATCAAGAAAATCAGTACATGACTCAGAAAAAGAGCAAGTCATACAGAGTAAGCCATGACATTTGTGGTTCTTCCTGTGTCTGTTGTAGAGATCTGTTTGCTGACCAGAGGAAGGCGTACGGCCAGCGTGCGGGCAGATACATACTGCCGCCTATACTCCCTGTCCGTGGATAACTTCAACGAGGTTCTGGAGGAGTACCCCTATGATGAGGAGAGCCTTTGAGACAGTCGCTCTGGACCGCCTCGACCGCATAGGCAAGTCTCCCTCAAAATCCCCTCCCTCCTCCTTCCTAGAAATCTGGAGTTATTGTCATTTTGTTATATATTTGATTTTCTTAAGCGTAATTACAACATTGTTTCCAAAAAGTTGGGAGGCTGTGCAAAATGTAAATAAAAACAGAATGCAATGAGTTGCAAATCAGTTAAACCCTGTATTTAATTGGAAATAGTTTGGAAATAGTACAGTAACAACATATGAAATGTAACTGAGAAAATTGAGAAATTTAATTTACTTTTTTTGAAAAATATATGCTCATTTTGAATTTGATGCCAGCAACAGGGCGGGAGCAACAAAAGACAGGGTAAAGGTAAAGTTGTGCTCTAATAAAAAAACACCTTGTGAAACATCTGACAACTAATTAGGTTCATTAGCAACAGGTCAGTAACATGATCGGATATAAAAAGCATCCCAGACAGGCTGAGTCTCTCAGAAGTAAATATGGGGAGGGGTTCACCACTCTGTGAAAGACTGCATGAGCAAAAAATTCAAAAATAATGAAAAATAGCAAAGAACTTGGGAATTTCATCATCTACAGTACATAATATCATTAAAATATTCAGAGAATCTCTGTATGCAGGAACAAGGCCGAAAACCAGTATTGGCTGGCAGTGATCGTCGGGCCCTCAGACGGTATTGCATTAAAAACAGACACGGTTCTGTACTGGAAATCACTGCATGGGCTTAGGAACATGTCCAAAAACCACTGTCTGTGAACAGTCTGTGATCCACAAATGCAAGTTAAAACTCTAAAACACAAAGAAGAAAGCATATATAAACAGGATCCAGAAACGCCGCCACCTTCTGTGGGCCCGAGCTCATTTAAGATTGACTGAGGAGAAGGAGAAAAGTGTCCTGTGGTCTGACGAATTAAAACTTGAAATTCTGTTTGGAAATCATGGACGCTGCAGGCTAAAGAGGAGAGGGACCGTCCAGCTTGCTATCACAGTTCAAAAGCCAACATTTGTGATTGTATGAGGCTGCATTAGTGCGCATCTGTGAAGGCACCATTAATGCTGAATTGTATATACAGGTTTTGGAGCAACACATGCTGCCATCCAGACAACGTCTTTTTCTGGGAAGGCCTTTATTATTTCAGCAAGACAATGTCAAACCACATTCTGCACATATTATAACAGTATGACTGTATAGTAAAAGTGCTAAACTTGCCTGCCTGCAGTCCAGATCTGTCACCATTGAAAACTTTTGCCGCATTTTGAAACTACAACAAAGGAGTCACTGAACTGTTGAGCTGCTGGAATCCTGTATCAAGCAAGAATGGGAAAACATTTCACCTTTAAAACTACAGCAATTGGTCTCCTCAGTTCCCAAACGTTTACAGAGTGTTGTTAAAAGAAGAGGTGATGCAACACAGTGGTGAAGAAGCCACTGTCACAATTTTTTTTAAACATGTGCTGGCAGCAAACTCAAAATGGTCATATATTTTTCAAAACAATACAATTTCTTAGTTTCAGCATTTGATAACTCGTCTTTATACTATTTTTAATTAAATATAAGGTTTAAATGATTTGCACAACATTGCATTCTGTTCTTATTTACATTTTTCACAGCGTCCCAACTTTTTGGGAAATGAGATTTTACTTATAATGTCAATGTTAATGCATTAATGAAACATTAGTACATTAAATTAATAACGCTACCCATTTTCCACCCTGAAGCCTGGCTACTTTTGCACTGTATGTTGCTGTGACTGTCACCCTCTCATTCAAATACAGCTTTTAAATGGCAAGTTCCATCGATATCTCTCTTAATAAACTATGTTGCCAGCTATTACAATGCCATGAATTTGTTTATTACCATAGTACATTGAGTCTGAAGTATCATTCTAAAGCAAATCACACTGCTGTTGCCAGCAATATCAGTAATTTGGCAGACTATGCTGGACAGTGCTTGCAGGAGGCACATGGATAAACCAACTAACAAAAGCAAAGTGGAAAGCTCCAGTTCCCTCGATAGCCTCTATTCTAACAAGACTCCACAAGCTGTATGAAAGAGAGCGAGAGGCTACAATTGCAGAAGAGTTGGAACTATTGACTGGTTACATGGTTTATATCGCTGCTGTCAGAACAAAACCTCATATCTCCATTTTTGTTGCTTTTCAGTTTTTGACATAATTTGAAAATGCCTGTTGCCCTTTACATTGTGTGTAAATTTCATGCTGAATCGAGCAAGAGAAATGGCCCAGAATGACTTGGGAAAAAGTCTGGTTCCATTGACTTACATTAAAAGTAAAGTATGTTTTTCCCGTCTCCTGTAAAGTTACCATTTTGGAGATATGAGGTTTTGTTCTGACAGCTGCGATGTGATATTTATGTATTAGTTGTAACATGCAGCCACTGTTGCTAACAATGAATCTTGGTGAAGTAAAATGAAAATTATAAAAATAATATGATTGAATTACTGAAAGTAATGAATACATTCTGATAAAGCTTATTTTGACCACTCAGCTATAACAAAATACACTGCCTTTTTAGGAAAAATTAGCCATTTAAAATCCTTCTATATTATATAATTACTTGTAAAGTAATGAATTAGATTCTGCACAGACAGGTTTGATTCTGCACTTCTGACACTTTTCCATATAGTTCAATTTCAAATGACAAAAACATGGCAAAAATTGTTGCACACAACAAGAATGTACACACAATGAGGAACATTCATCAAATTAAAATCATAATAGGCTATCTCCTCTTCTTACAGGCACAAATGTGAAAGTTTAAAATCTGTATTTCCAATGCAGTTTCTATCTTTGTTTCAACAAACTTCAACAAACATTTGCAAAACGTTGGTAACATTCTCCTGGAATTCACCAAACCCAGACTCGTCCCATTAGACTGCATGAGTTTGCGTGGTTTACCACTTTGTGGCTAAGCTCTTATCCTAACACCTCAATTTTACAATAATAGCACTTACAGTTGACAGGGGCAGATCTAGCAGGACAGAAACTTCACAAACTGACTTGTGGCAGAGGTGGCATCCTATGACAGTGCCATGTTTAAAGTCACTGAGCTCATCAGTACGACTATATCTACTGCCAGTGTTAGTCTTAGTCTATCGATATTGGATATTTTATCCATCTGTTAGCAATGGGTTTGCCTGAAACACCTGACCTCAATAATTAGGAGGGGTGTCCTAATACTTTTATCCATATAGTGTATAAGTTGTATAGGGTATATAGGAGATATAGAATATCGTCACTGTCCAAAGAAAAACATATATCTCCAAGATGGTAACTTCACAGGAGAGGGTGAAAACTTTTATTGTAAACAGATTTTATTCCGAACAATTTTGGAGCTCGTTGTTTTTGACAGCGATGATATAGGAATCTGATTAGCACTGGAATCTGTTTCCGAATAGGAGGGTACTTTTGTTAGATGCCATATTTAGCACCTCTTACCTGCTGAAGTGTGAAATGTTGACTGACTAGTGGAAATTAATTTGTAGGCTTTGTTTGTGCATTAGGTTTCTGAGTTTCCCTGGGTTTTAAATGAATCATTGATTAAAAAAACATTATTTTATGGTAGCATAAAATTTACATATATATATTTACAGTAAATGTGAAGATCAGGCTCTGAGATTGGCATAACTGGTACAGAACCATGCAGTATGTTCATTTAATGCCTGACTGTGCAGCGTAATTTCCATCCGTCTCTCATGTTCTCTGCCTCATAGAGCCAGACGGCTGAGGGCTGAGACGCCACAGAGGCCGGCTGTGTTAGTGCTGTCACTGAGGCCCGTGTTTATCTGCCACCGCAGGGGGCTCAGACACCCTTCACAGTAAACACTGACACCTAGCACAACCAGCCCACACAATGCCGCACAAACAACAAACTGAATCATTTCACTGCAATCTAAAACAGTCTACATCAGTCTGCGGCCTGGTTACAAGTGAGGACATACTGGAGTGTGTTTCCTGAGTATGACTACAAATAACATGAAAAGAAGGGACAAGAAAAATCTTTCAGAAACTAAATACCAGCTCCAGCAGTCACAGCACATACGCTTGGCCAACGCAGTTTGGGAAGTGTATGGAAACTCTAAAAAATCTAATTTCCCACTTACTCCAGATGTAGTAAGTGTAGTGCTTCTGTGGTTTAGCGCTAGAGCTATAAGGCTAACTTTGCTAACAAACATTAGAAGTCAATAGTCACCCAATCTTTTTCCCTGAATACATCCATGAAACCTCTTTTTACTACTTAAACCACATCAATCAATTTACTCTAAACTACAAAAATGAATACTGAACACTGTAGTCCGCCACTTTAGACAACAGGTGGCCAGAGTGTCATTCCCTATTGTGTGCACGCACATTTATAGCTTGTAGTAAGCTATTCTATGTCCTAAACCACACTGACAAATGTACTTGACCTTAGCCAAGACCTGGATGCAGCTTGAGTGGGTTGAGTTTTCTGAAAGTATCTAACCCCTTAAAATCCCAGGCTTATTACATACTAAGGCTTATTATTCAGTAAATACAGGGAATTCAGTGCAAACTGGCTGAGGTGTTCTTAGCTTATAGAAGTGTGTAATAAAACTTTGAGCCCGTCGGCAGGCTGAACGAGGTTAAGGAAACGATTTGGGTGACTATTGACTTCTTGTGTTTGTTAGCTGAGTAACTATGTGGAAAATTTTGTGAATTAGATTTTCCACCAAACTTTTTCTTCAAAGTCAGTGTGAATCATAGTGCGCATTCTTTTCATTTGGTGACATTTCTGAGTGAAACATGGGGTCTCTGAGCGAGCTGAGTGTTTTCTCTGGATGATAGGTGGGGGTAGTGTGAGGGGGAGGTGAAACATGACATTATTGGTTAGTATTATTTTTTTCACACCTGCTGGTGCACATTGACATGATCAAGACATTTAGGAGACCAGCAGAAGTCATTATATTCAAGACAAAGATTACAGGAATCATAAATTATGCTTAATATGACCAGGGACATAAACAAAAGATATAAACAAAACAAAGGTCAGTTTTGATTTCAGGAAGACTTTAACCTTTACATTGTTTGACATCAGAGATCGTAGTTTTCACTGGAGATAAAAGCATGGTGTAATTTTATTTGAATAGGTTTTCAGCTCATTGAAACAAGTGGAGAGAGCTTCTATCATGAGTGCAGATTCAAAACCATGAAGATGAAGTAGTAGAAGAGAATGTTTTAATATGATTAGAATTTGATTTAAAATGATTGCTGTGCAAACAGTTGTTTTTTGGAAAGAAAAGGTATTCTTACCATCTTGTCATCAGAACAAGCAGAAAAAAGGTGCATTTCTACAGCATGTAAATCAAATGTAAACGTAGTGCATTACGTAACTAATTACTTATGTAATTCTGTAATTACGTTGAAATAGTATAACAAAACAACAGTAACTCTGGACCTCTGAAAATTGACTGCAGTTTTATTACAGCTTGACGGATGTTCCCTGCTGATCTTCATAGCTGGCTTTGCTCGTTCTCCTTTCCAACACAAATCCAGCATGTAGAACTCACCTTTCTCTCTGGCAGAGTGGACTTACAGACCGCAGACCTCACTAATTAATTACAGCATTAATGGATCTGATGCAATCTGCTGATCTGTAGTGGAATGCGCTGGGGTTAGCGCGGGTCGTCCAGTGGCCTTCCGCCTGCAGCCTAATCGCCACTTTCTCATATCAGAAAATGGCCACCCCGATGTGACTGCTAATTCTGTTTCCACTGTGTGCCCTTGGTTACTTTGCAAACATTTCATAGATGATGTTTCGATTATTCCTAATGGTTTTTGCTTAGATTTTCATTCAGATGAAAAATTTTAGCATTCAGTTAATTATATAGAAAGTCTATTAGCTTGACTAGTAATGACAAAAAGAATTTGTCGATATCTAATTATAGGAAGAAGTCAGAGCAGTTGTTGCAGTGCATTACGTCCCCTTCCCGTCATTGTGGAATCATTTTTAGTGTTCATATCTACTTTTCCGTAGTGTGATAGAGTTAGCGTGATAGTGTGTCTGCCCTTCAACCAGCCCCATGTTATAGATCTGCCATCCAGCAGCTACCAAACATGGAAAAGTGCCATGCGTCTGACTAGCCTGTGTCTCTCCTCCTCCTATCGGACAGCACCCTGCGTTCGAGGCCATGTTTACTCGCTGATTTCTCTCTCTCTGCCTTATCTAGCCCTCAACAGTAAAGACTAGTCAAACACAGACTGCTTGCCTGCAGGAGCCATCACACCCCCTACCAGGCTGTGCTATTTCCACACAGGCTGTCCCCCTCCCTGCTATCAGCCCCTCAGCCTGGGGTTCTTCCCAGAGCCATGGGCTTGCTGAGCCTCTACTGCTGCTGAAAGAAAGGGAGTACAGAGTAGTGTTTGTTACAAAAGAACAGAATGAAAGAAGTATTTAAAATGAGCCCTGATCATAGCTATTCCTGCTTCGTGTACTTTTTAATATTCAGCGTGCCACCTGAGGGTGAATAATGTCCTTTGTTTAGAGGTTATTCAAAAAAGCCATGATTATAATGAAGCTTTTTTTGTGAAGGAGGGAAGCTCTTTGGGCTAATGCTGGAGGGATTTAACTTGGATTTCAAATAACTCATTTACCAGGTATACATGTTAGTCAATGAGCCAGAAAGACTTATTAATGTACACTTGAAACTACTAGTTCATGTATACAAAGCTAAGAAATTACAGATTTCATCTGTATCTGCTGTGACTCGGATATAGTTTGTGATATATTGTCTGACTCTGGGTTTTCTTTTGTATCCATTAGGAAAGAAGAACTCCATCTTGCAGCATAAGGTCCAGCATGACTTGAATTCTGGCCTCCTGAACTACCAGGAGAATGAGATCATCCAGCAAATTGTGCAGCACGACAGAGACATGGCACATTGTGCCCACTTGATGCAAAACCAACCTCCTCCTGCTCCTCCATCACCTACTCCTGTCATCTGGGCCCCACTTATCCAAGCCCCCCTACAAGCTGCTGCAGCTACAACGTCAGTTGCTATTGCCTTGACCCACCATCCTCACCTGCCTGCCACTCTCTTCCGCCCTTCAGCTTCTGTTTTGGGCTCAATGAAAGACCCTCCCAGTCGATTGAAGAGGTTCCAGGTTGTACCCGCGTCAGCAAGTCCAGGTTCAGCTGGAGATTCCCCTTCCAGCACTCCTTCGAAGCCTCGTACCGGAGCAGACACCCCTCTACTTGCGTCCTTCCGAGCACACCACTCAACAGGGCCAGCTGGGTCAGGCAGTACCAGCCAGCAAGCCTCCAGCACCAGCAGTGGTTCCCAGCCTGGAATTGGCAGTGCTTCTGCATTCCCAACTTCTGGCAACTTCTCCACATCTGCATCCCCCACATCAAGCACCGCACAGCTCCATCCTCCCCCAAAACACAAGCAGCCCTTCCTCCAGAGTACTCCACCACTGACCAACCGCCTCCAGCAAGGCGGAACAGGTGGAACGGCAGATGGCTCAGGTGTTGGAACCTTGTCTGGGGCGGTAGGTGGGGCAGTGGGTGGTGCATCATGTGGAGTGGCCTCAATCGGGTCCCCTGGGGGCGCATTAGTTGGTGCGACATGTGGTCTTTTGACCACAACGTCTTCAAATAGTAGCCCTCTTGCCACAGGATCATTCAGCCATGCTCCCAGTCAACATCTCCATGGTCAACAGTCTCAAAAACCCACACAGATGGGCTCGCTGCAGCAATTTGCAGGTGGGGGTGGTAGGACTTCTAGTGTGCTAAACCTCTTCCATACACCCCCGCCTGGATCCCCATCCTCCAGCCATACTCACATTGCCCAGGCCCCTGAAGGTTCACCTTCATCAAACACCCAATCCACCTTGTCCAGCCTAAGGTCCAGCTTTCTTCCCCAGTTGCCTTTAGAAAGGTCAGCATTAGCTTCACTAGCTCAGTATGGCTCGGCTAATGCGTCCCCCTGTTACACTCCGCTAGCCCCTAGCCCTACGATTCAAAGTCCTGTAACTGGAAGAACTTTTCACTACAGTGACCCTTCCAGTGCAACAGGCTCCCACAGTTCTCTGCTCATGCCCCAGTCCTCTTGCCCTGGCCAACTACCAGGCCACCACGCCTCTGGGACCGAATCTCCTTTAAGCCGTTTCTCTGAGGATATGAAACTATTATCCAGCTCTCACCCCACACTAAGTGGAGAGGTAGCCCAGGCTCTGGGTCATCACTCGTCCACTCGATCCACCATGGATCCTGGCTATTGCCTCTCCCCTTACTCTTCCCCAACACTGACACCCAAGCCTTGTAGCTCCGTTTCAGGGCACATTGCTCCCCCAGTACAGACTCCTCCCGGGTCACGGCACCACATTCACTCCACAGGGACGTCGCCCTCGCTTCCACCTCGGAGGTCCTCAGAGGCCCACCCTTCTGAACTAGAACCACTCTGCTCTAAGCTCCCCTCCAATTTGTGAGGCTAGATCACACCCTCCTGCTCACCCTGGACTTGTAACTGAGTAATAACAACCTTCTTCTGTGTGACACTTTTTCTTTCTTTATCTATCTATCTAGACACTGTGTTTTAATCTTAATTATTTTAGATATCTAAATATTACTGTGATTAAAAAAAAAAGATTAAGGCTTAACCAGGTTAAATTAGAACTCTAGATTACTCTTCTTTTGTTTTGCTTTGTCATTCTTTCTCTTTTTTACTCATTAATATATATGTGGAGATATATATTTAACAATATATGTTAATCAATTGATAGGAGGGTGTGAAACGCTACATATATAAACATTCAAGGAGGTCCATGCCAAATTCATTTGGTCAGTGCGTTTGAAATGGACAACACAGAAGGACTATTTTGCAGGAATCTATGCACTGAAGCCTGCATGTAAAAAATGACTCTTTTTCTGTGTTCAGATCTACCTTTTTAGTCACGTGCTTCGGAAGAGCAGATCTTTTATCACTACGCCCTATCCAGGATCACATATTGCTGATCCTTAAATGTATCTATTGGATTGTATGTATTTATTCACTGTATAAACTTTGCAAAACCTTCCAAGTTGGAGAAGAGAATTTAGGCAAACCAAAAAGATTTTTCTCTTGAGTAATTAGTACACTTTTTGGCCTACACCTTGTTGATTGCTGTTTGAAGTATTGTAGTAATATTTGAGTGGGCTTCAGGTCCTCTACATTAGGGAGAACAGAGGAAGAAGTTAAAGATACAGGGAGTCTTCAACAGTGTCCTAACAAATTCACTTTTGTCTTCCAGGTTCAAGTGGCAGGTTGTTGGAGGTGAATGGCATTAGACTGATGAATGACATGAAAGCCCCTGTGTGTGTATGTGGGTGTGCTTGTGTGTATGACTGTGTTTTCTGAAATGGCTTGATGCAAGCAACAATCTTGTTGGACTGACCAAGATTAGATTTGCCTTTTTACAAGAAAAAAAGAGAACTTCCATCAAAGCCTATGTGTAGATGGTTCTAATGAAAAACATTTTACACCTCGTACTAGTTTTACAGAGCCAGCAACAAGTCAGCATTACATGAGATTACAGGATGTAGCATAGATGTTTTTCTTTCTTGAGTGATTTATTTATTTACAAATATCTATTTATATTTATTTGTGCTTTATCATCCATAGCTGCTAAAGGATCAAATTAAGATATCAATCAGATGAATGTACTGTATGAATAAACACTATCAGCATTAGCAGGAGGATGCTACATCAAATGACTGACCATGAATAAGCCTGCACAGTAAGATATGAGCTGAAATTATGCATCTGGAATAAGAATAGATGGGTCCCTATCAGGGTCACAACTTTCAACTACAGTGTCCTTTTGTGATTAAACAGCCTCGCAACTCCCTCATGACACCTGACCTTAGCTTACCCTTAAAGGTTTGGAAACAGGAGATCACAGTGACCACAGCATTGCTGTCCCCATAGCCAGCTGCCAAAACAAGTTAAAAAAACTGTATGTGATTGTTAAGCACAACTAGAAATCCACTTACATACTAGTTATAGCATTAATTTAGTAGTATCCTATTATTAAGAGATTTTTAAAATATATACAGTAGTAGTGGGCGGTATGTCAGTTAATCTGCTACACCAGTAGAATTTCTTCCTAAGGTATTAGTTTTGTCACAGCCTTTATACCAGTATGCCAGATGATGCAATGTACAGACAGTGCAAAAAAGGTTGGTCCATTTGGCTGAATGCCAGAGTCAGGGATGTTTCAGTCACGTTGAAGTGAAAATAAAAATGCAGAAGTTGATCACCTTCTACTGTGTAGTCAGTTGCAGTCTGAAGTAGTTGTTGTCAAGCCAGCAGAGAGTAATATTAAAACAACAGCCGCTCTCTTGGGGTTGGCCTTTAGCTGCGGCCTGGTCATCGAAGCCAGCAGCATCGCTTCTTATCTGCAGTTGATAGCATTAATAACTTGTAATTTTAAACTAATTCAGCAGCATATGATGCTAGATATAAACATGAGAGTGTGGGGTGCATATATGAGACAAATTACTACAAAAATTCAGATGTGAAACAACATTTAGCACCATTTTCACCAGAAACAGAGAAGCCACTGGGTGCTTACATGTATGCGATAAAGGTTTATCTATATATTGTTCAGTTTTGTTTTTGATATTTTGCACAATAAAAATGTTTCAGATTTACTTGTTGTTAGTTATTAAATATTGTTCCTATTAGTAAAGGTCCATTCCAGAATAATAAGCCACTGTTAACCCACAAAAATAGGTTTACTTAAGCATCTAAAATGGTTTTATTTGGAAAAAAATAAATAAATAATGGATCATTTATATTTGTCCATTCATCATGAAATTTTAGCACAATGTAACAGTAGATCGCTGCTGTCGAAACAAAACCTGCCTTATATCTCCAAAATGATAGCTTTCTAGGAGAAGGAAAAAACCTTCTTTACTTTTAATGTAAGTCAATGGAACCAGATGTTTTTCCAAATCATTTTGGGCCATTTCTGATGGTCCATTCATCATAAAAGTTATAAATGCAACAGGCATTTTCAAATAATGTCAAAAACTGACAAATTATCTGAGATGTGATGAGATACAAATTTTTGTTGCGACAGCAGCAATATATATCCAAAAGTTTTATTTAGCCACCCACCACTAATAAACAGTGTATCTCATCAATTTCTTTTCAAAAAGTGTAACTCTATTAGCCAGTAACTCCAAAAACCAATTCACCATTGTGTGAAATTCATGTCAAATAGTCAAACATGGATGGTCCCAAATTATTAATTATTTGGAGTAAAATAAAATAGTCTAAAATTACTTGGTATAAAATGCTGTTACATTAACAAACACTACTGTTCAAAAGTTTGGAATGACTGTTTTCAATAAAATAAAACCAGTTGTGTTGCAGATACATAAATGCATTAAATGTTTCTAATATAGTGATAATATTTCATAGGTTTGTAGGAATATTCAAACAGTTTATAGGTAGTTGTAAAAATTAAGACATTTGGCTTTTTAAAGACATTTTTATGATGAGTGGAGTTGTACATAAGACCAAATCTCACTGATCAAATAGCTATTCTTATTACATGACAAGAACGTATACTATGAATAGATACTTATTTAATAACATTTGCAGTTTTTCTACCATGTCTACCAAGTTGTTGTAAATTTTAAGCAAAATAATTGGTTTATAGTGTTACAATATTTCAATCTACACTGTATATGTTATTACTGAGTAACAATTATTAATGACAAGTGATTCCAAACTTTTGAATAGTATTGTATATTAAACTTAATATTTGGTTTTTTTTTATCCTTTTCTTCTCAGAAACATACATTTTTCACAAAGAAATAATAATATCCGCACTTGAGAAAACCTGACCTGCGTCAAGTTCACAAGTTGTGAAAATCTTTTCAACTTTTGAGCGGCGAGCGATGCTGGCAGAGAGGGAGGCACAAATACAAGGAGACACTGATGTATTGAGGGGGTGATGTGTAGCGACAGACAGCCAGGGGCTTGACATGTAGACGAGGACCCCTGTGGGCTACTCAGGATGACGAGCTTGTAGCAGGGAGGCCTTTTGAGGCGGCTCTACAGCAAGTTATGATTGTCTCTGAGCACTTGCGGAAATTTCATGAGGAGGGCAAGTATTGATTGCATTATTGGACACAGCTTTGGGAGGTTTCGAGAGCTAGTTAGAGAGTTTTTTTGTTCCGACTGAGAGAAAAAAAAACAGCTTAACGCACCTCGGGGGTCGATGGCAGTGGAGGACTCAAATCTGGCAAGGCTGCAGAGAAAGGCACAGAAAAAGTGAGAGAGAGTGATTGATTAGAGGGTAGTCTGACCCAACCGAGAAACCTGGTCATTAGCAGAGATAAGGACTGCAGTGCATCAATAAAAGCAGCGAGCAGCTGTCAGTCAAAGGCGGCTGTCACTCTGGGCCTGTCTCTTGTCTCAGCTCCCACCTCTCAGACCATGAGACTCACTCACACCCCTTCATGGGATAGTGTAGACACTGCGGAACTCAAAAGTCCACATTCGAACTTAAGGCTAACTTTCAAGGGCCCATATCATCGAAAAATGGATTTTCATTGTCTTTAAAAATAAATAAATAAGAAAATGATGAAGTATATAAAAATTGTTTTAAGTTATAAAACATACTGCTCACTCCCCACTCTGCGTCATCCACAGAATCTGCAAAAACAGCCCGTACTGAATTATTGTTTTTGTGACAAAGCCACACAAGCCAGCACATGTACACTGTAAAAATACTGTAAAGTTCAACTCAAAAAAAGTTCTGCATCTTATTTAGGTATATATATATATATATATATATATATATACACACACACACACACACACACACATATATATATATATATATATATATATATATACATATATATATTTCAGTTTTCAGTTTTTGGGTTCACAGATATACAGGCCTGCAGAATCACTGGGGTGTAAACTTAAAATCTCCTGACATTGGGAGGAGTGAAGTTATTTCAGATTGTTGTTTTGTTAACTTAGTGTTTATTGTTAAATGAGCTTAAAATGTAACCCCAGCCACAAAAACTAAACCTAAATTAAATTGCAACCATTGGATATTTAAGTTTTTATGTTTTATGAATCAAGTATTTTATGTGTTGGACTAACATTAACATGTAAACCTAACATTGGAAGCAACTTTAAGGGCTCACAAGCGATGCAACTTTCTAAGTGTTTACCACAACATCAGAAGATGGGGAGACTGTGAGATTCTAAACCGCAGTGATGCCCCAGCTACTCAATACTGGAAGCCTGAAAAGAGAAAATGCGTGGTGGGATTATGTGATGGAATGAGTGCCAGGTAGTGGGGGAAATTAAAATTATATATTTATTTATTGTTTACCTAAGTAAGATGCAGAACTTAAAAATGTGAGTTACGAGCACGTTTCACTAAACTAGGAAGTTTGAGTTGAGTGAACTTCATTGTCTTTGAGT